CATATTATATTGTTTTCATATTCCATGTGCATACCTCATGCAAATTAACTTTCTTATAGCCTCACACTGACCTTTACCTCATTGAAGGAAATTAAATTGTAAAATGAATCTGCTTAGGAAAATCTTTTTCAAAAAAAGTCTCTTCCTCTACGTTATTGAGGTTCAACAGAGCCTTTAGCATTCCAAGTCATCAATCCTATTATATAATGAAATGAAAACCTAGATAATTGATAGAAAATTAAAATACTTGGTTTGTCTCAGGATGAAAATGAAATAACAATGTTTAAAATATTGGAATACAGTAGAATAGAAAAAGGTAACTGCAACAATTAGCTCTTAATATTTTCAGGATTTCAAGATGCTTTTCTAACCATATACTGGCCTATTTGACATTTTCCTCAGGCTGCTTGAAATTGGTGAAACACATACTGAAACAAAGACACTTAGATTCTGTAAATGTCTGAAAATCCTCTATTTGTACTTCCAATAATTCATTTATTAGGATAAAAATACCTTAAATTCCTAGAAACAGGGACGCCTGGGTGGCTCAGCAGTGTGGCGCCTGCCTTTGGCCCTGGGTGTGATCCCAGAGTTTCAGGATCGAGTCCCACATCGGGCTCCCTGTGTGGAGCCTGCTTCTCCCTCTGCCTATATCTCTGCCTCTCTCTCTGTCTTTGTGTCTCTCATGAATAAATAAATAAATAAATAATAAAATCTTTTAAAAAATTCCTAGAAGCAAAATTTTGCATGTTACTACAAATAACAAACTATTTTCTATTTTGAGAGTGCTCTCAGAACATTTTTTTTAAAGATTTTATTTAATTATTTGAGAGAGGGTGAGAGCAGGTGCATGAGTAGGGGAAAGTCCAGAGGGAGAGGGATAGGCAGACTCGTACCTACAAGTACAGAGCCTATACGGGGCTTGATCTCACGACTCTGATATCATGACCTGAGCTAAAACCAAGATTCAGATGATTAGGCGACTGAGTCACCCAGGAGCCCCTTCAGAACCGTTTTTAACCTCTGATGATTTCTGAGGAAAAAAAAATTATAGTTTGTGTATTTTCTATTCACAAAAATCTCAGCTGCCTCCTAAAATTTGCAAATGTAACCTTATGATGCCTCTTGGCACTGATGTCCTGTATACTAAAGAAGGAGAAAAACTTTGGGCTTCCTATGCACCATTTATTTTAAATTCACATTGCATCCTATTTTCAACACTCTGAAATCATATTACATGGACTTTACTTCCTTTATCTAAACATCCTGATTCAATTTTCATATTAAAGTCTTTTTTAATGTAACATCAAGCATGGAATCAAAAATAGAAGAATTGGTGTTTATTTTTCCACCCAAAGAAGTTTTGTTTATAAGCTAGGCTTAAAGGGATCACACCTGTAAAGACAGAGTTTATAGATTTTAGAACAATCTTAATAAATTATTATTTAGTTTAAGAAGATGAAGTCTGAGAGATAAAATAACCAAGCCTATGGAATTAAGAGACCCAATTTCTTTTTCAGGAATCTTTCTTTTTCAGATGTAGAAGAAAGAATGACGACATATAAAGTCATGAAATTGGCAAGTTTTTGACGTCAGGGCCCAGGGAACAAAAATATCTGTAGATTCTATAATTGTTTATTAAATTATCTCAGTTACATGTAACATGTTAATATATATATATATATATAAGATTCTTTCCCATTTAAGAAGTTTTTCATAGAGATTAATTTTCTGTTTCTCCAACCTCCCTTTTTTTCCCTCCCATTTCTGTCACAGGCTACATTTCCTTCTGTATGATCCATGTTTTACTAGATTGTTAAATGCTCCTTTACTTTACGTGGCAGAAATAGAGGCTTTAAAGAGGATATATTCATCAAAAACTTTCAAATGTATAATTGTGATTTTGCATTGGATATCTGAATCCTTCTTTTCTTTTCCTCATTGATGCCAAGTCTGCTCCGAATTATCACTTGCCCTTTGAAGAGACTTGAGCAAACAACCCATTTTATCCTTGCTAAAGACTTAGTCTTATAACGTAGAAGAGAAAAATTAACTTCTGTGGCAAAACTTACAATTGAAATGTTCACTTTTTATATCATTAATTTTAACTGCCATTACTCATTCTGGCATTCAGGTATATGTAGCATATATAAAGTATGAAAGAAGCAATAAGATTATTTTATAAAACAAAATAATAAATCAGCAGCTCCAGTTATTTTATTAAAATTCAATCATATATTAAACAATTAAGATAGCTTCTATTTAAAATGAATTTAAGAGATTAACTCATTTATTATATGACACATATTCTCAGTATAAAAGCCAAATACCAAACTACCTAAACTTAGTATTTTATAATTGAGTAGTTATATAAATTAGATATACAATTTTAATATAAAGCATATTGTTAAGTATCTCAGTACTTCCAAAATCTGGAAATTGAGAATTTTTCACATATATAAATGCATATACATATAATTAAAATTGTAATAATGTTATGAATTATGACTGATAAAGTCAGATACTACACCAGTTAATACACAGGCATGTCTGGTTTTATTGTATTTGACTTTATTATGCTTTGCCAATATTGTGGGTTTTTTTTTTTTTTTTAGAAATTGAAGGCTTGTGGCAACCTTGTAGTGAACAACTTAGCAGTGCCATTTTTCTATCTGTTTTTGCTCACTTTATGTCTCTGTCATATTTTGATAATTCTTTCAATATTTCAAACTTTTTCATTATATTATTATATTTGTTAGAGTAATCTATGATCAGTGATTATGATTCAATAAAAGTTTACATGATGGCTGGCAATTTTTAGGAATAAAATATCTTTTAATTAAGAAAACAATAAAATAAAAAATAATTAAGGTGTATACATTGTTTTTAAAAGCATTATTGCACACTTAATAGATTATAGTATAGTGTAAACATAATTTTATAGAACTAGGAAACCAAAAAAGCAAAAAAGTCATTTGACTTGCTTTATTGTGAAATTCACTCTACTGCAGTAGCCTGGAACTGAACCAGAAATATCTGAGATATGCCTGTAATTAATTTACTTCATTTCTTCCATAAAATAAAATTCTGTGAATTTTCATTGCTATAAAGATAACCATTCAAGTTAACTGTAAGGTCTTTAGAATTTTATAAATAAAATTTAAAAATTGATTTGGTATAGTTTGTATTTCTTTCAACAATTATGTATGTACATGTGTATATTCAGTAACATTCACATATATTTATTTATACACCTTTATTTATATACTTATGTAAATCAGCAAAAATAAATTTGAAGGAAAGAATCTAGGGTTTTTTTAGATTTATTTATTTATTTATTTATTTATTCAAATGAGAGAGAAAAAGAGAAAGAGCGCACACAGAGGGAAAGGGAGAAGCAGACTCCCCACTGAGCAGGAAACCTGATGCAGGGCTCAACCCCAGGACCCTGGGATCATGACCTGAGCTGATGGCAGACAACTGACTGAGCCACCTAGGTGCCTGGAAAGAATTTAGCTTTATGTTGAGTTTTTTTTTTTTTTAAGATTTTATTTATTTATTCAGAAGCATGTGTTTTTTTTAAAGACTATGTTTATTTTATTCCACAATAAATATGCTCATAAATAATAGTTAAATAAAATTTTATGGTTTGAATCATGATGTTTTAATGAATTTATTTCATAGTTTCATATATTATTCACCTGATTTTTTGGTTGATATTCATTTATCAGAATCTCTTAATACTCTGCATGTCACTTTTTTTAAATCAAATATTTACTTTCAAAGCCTCTATGCTATGTAATTTTCTGTCAATTAAACATAAATACATTTCTGAAAACTATTTAAAGGGGGCCTGTAATGAATCAAATTATGTGAATGAATTCCATTTATCTCTTCTGTGAGATCTCTTCAGGTTTCTAGAGATAAGCATTTTAAAGCAAGTTACAGTGGAAAGATAACAATTCAATATCTAATCTCATACTTACTACAAAGTATACTCAGACATATTGTGAAGACACAAAGATGTGACTTTTTACTCTTAGACCAATAGCCCATACTAATTTTTAGTCAGAAGTTTTCCTTCATTAGCCATACTTATTTGGCTCTTTCCTTGCTTGGGCATTAATCAAGAGGTGCTTTGCAGAATATCAGGTGGTCTACTTAGAATCAGTAAATGTAGGGACCGTAGAGGATTAGAATTAGAAATCCTAAGCCTTTATGTATATATAAAATGTGTCAGGTAAAGGTGTTTAGAAGTTAAATGAGCTTCTGAGGCTCACATATCTGTTCCGGGAACCCAGACACTGAGGTTCTCAAGTTCTCAGGCTTTCATTACATATGTCTGTAATTCCTCCAGCCAGTGCTCAGTACTGTCTGCACATTTTTACTTGGCTTCTTTCACTTCTCTGTTTGTTTTGTTTCCTGTTTGTGACCACATTGTCCTTCCCATGGATAGAAGTTCCTTGAAGTCAGGTATTAACTTCATCAGAAAGTCCTGGTGTGTTTTTGAAAGGTCTCATTGAATACTTTAAACAAGATATTGGACACATCTGAAAAGTATTATAAATGAGAAAGCAACATAATATGTATTTGTGGTCCTGAATAATGCTGTTAAAATCAGTCCATGATTTTTCTAATGCGATCAGAAAGCTTGTATATCATGTCTTAACTGTGCATGAAGCAATCAGATTCTGAAAAGACACTTCCCCAGAAAACTACAAATCAGCCAAAGAAAAATTAAAAATCATCTCTTAGTGGATTTTTGAAATGCATGACACCTTGTCTTCATATTTATAATAGCATAAAGAATTGAATTAGCATTAATATCAGTGAAAAAATAATGAATATTTTCTATCCCGGTATCATTCTAAAATAAGAAAATATGTCCATGTGTAGTTTGATGACAGAAAGGATAATCAGTCAGGAAGAGCACTTAGTGGTCAAATGAACATTAACTATATGAATGAAGAAATTAAAAATATTTATTACTATAGGTGATTCTCAGTTTTTATATTTTACATTTCAACTAAAACAACATTTGCCAAAGCCAAATGTATGACATCTTTAGATATAGATATTTACATGCAACACACATCTAAAATTAAATATTTCCCTAAAGTAGAGACATATATATATAACTTATGACCATAATCTTATTTGAATAATATAGTATGAAATGATTCAATGAGACTTGGAACAAGAACATGCTCAATGGGGGAACACTTCCTTTATAGGAGACAATGTAGCAGATACATGAGTCTCCAGGGTTTGGACTCCTTGCTTCTTTACCTCCTCTCATTTCTAATTTCTATCCCGCTCCTGAAAGTCCAAAAATGAAACCTAAATACAGCTGGGATAAATCTTCCCTGGGCCTCATTCAAACCACTGACTGCCCACTACTTTAGTACTTTAGTAGTAATTTCTGTTAGCAGGTGAGATGTTCCTAGTCCCAGTCTGGAGTTAGGTAGAACCTGGTCATGGTTCTGTGACTGTTAGAAATGTGTTCCACAAAAAAAAAAAAAAAAAAAGAGGAAATGTGTTCCACTTACTGGAGCATGCTCATATTTACTTAAAAATGAGCCCAAACATGGATCCTATTATCAGTTTTCAATGTGGATTATGTTTAACTTGGAAGTTCTATATAAGTGAATCCATTCCCCAGAGTTTCTGTTTCTGGCTTATCACTGGAAGTGATACATTGTTTATTCTCAAACCCAGGGTTGTAACCGCAGAACAGATGATTGCCCTCTCCTATTATAAGAACAGGACCACTTCTCTATAACTGAGAAAAAAAGAATCTTCATCATTATGAAAAATGTATTCTGAATATATGGATATCTGAGCATTAATTTGTTTACATCTAGAAAAAAAATCCAAACTAGGTATTTGATCTAACTATTGGCTTAACTTCTATTCAACTTTACAGTCTAATGAATCATTCTATAAAACACTGTTATTACTCTTTTACTTCCTTCCCATTATGTAATAGGTTTTTATGATTATGAATGGAATTAAGTCAAATGGAAGGCTTTACAGAATACATTGACAGATATAGTATGTGTTGTTAAAATGTTAAGTTTTCATTTACACTTTTAAAATCCTTTGACATGATGCATTTTATTTTAAAGATGTACCTATTTGTTAAAAGTAAGCATGTTATATCTTAAAAGCAGACTACAAATTTGCCATCAAAATGAGCAAAATTAATTTTCTTTACAACCAAATGGCAACATCTGACTTTACATCCTGAAACTCGGTACAGGTAAATGAGCGTGATCGTCTTCTAAGATTTGTTGGTCTCTGAGGTCTTCCTTCTGTCAAGTCTAAATAGATGTCAGATTTCAGAAAACGTGTGTAACTGTCTTGTTCCATAAGCTGATACACTCTGCTTTGTGCAGCATCAAAACTATGTAAGGTAGGTTGGGTGATGCTTTTAGTAATGACTTCTTTGGTGTGAAAATCAAGGTTAACCTGGAATGATAATAATAAAAAAGTATGATTATGGTCAACCTACTTAAGTAAACACTTTTGAAAAACAGTGCGGGATTGATCCAGTGCTGGAGTGGGCATAATGCACCTGGATGCTTGTGTGTTTGTTGTTGTTTTTGTTTTTTTGTTTTTTGGTTTTAAGGCTTGGGATCCAGTGGTTTAATCTGGGCTGACATTTCATCTAGCTCTTCTCTTTTTATAATCCTGGCCCTTTTCACTCTCTGCTAATTTAGAATAATGAAACATTGTAAATATCATACAGACCTTTAGGTTAAATCATTTTCAAAGTGGGAACTAAAACTTCATAGAAATTAAATTATTTTGAATGAGGGTAAACAGTGAGTTTGGGGCATATTTGGGATTTCAATGTGGGGCTTTTGTTTTATTTCCATGCTCTTTTCATTTTATTATGATGCTTTCTTACCACCAAGTATGTGCTGAAAATGGATGTCTTTTAAAGATTAAAAAATTCTTTAATGCTTTTTATCAAAGCATTACTGCTATATCTGATTCTGATAGAGGTATGTTTTCAGTTAGGATTCCTTCTTTTTCCCTCATGAATAACACCATACAACTAGCTGTTTATAAAAAAAAAAAATCTGTGTATAAATGTGGCCATGGGAAAAACAGAATAATGTATTGAAACACGGAACAGATTGAATCATATTGAAACAAGAAAAAACAGTCATCATTCCATGTGAAATGATATCCACATAGACAATGCTACTTTATGGACAATACTAATTTATAGTGAAACATAAATTTTAATAGTGATAGACTACCAGTTCTACCACTCCAGTGAAGAAACATTATTTATTGAATACATAATAAAAATACAGAAACTCTATTTTAATTATTTTTGAGGGATATTTGCTAGTTTTATAGTTTTAGTATTTGTATCACAAAGTTATCTCGTATTGAGCTTGCAATCAAAGAAAATCACAACTGTTTTTTCACTTGAACCTTGTTAAATTAGATTTCCCTCATCTATCAATTATAAAATTTTCTTTTAGTCTATCAAAGAGAATAATTATTTTGGGATAATCAAAACTTTGCATAGGTAGATGTGCTCACACATAACGGTACATTATACAAACTTTTCAATTTGTCTTGCCTTCCTCACATATAGAAATCATTAGTTTTGATGGCGCATTGCTTATGCTTAGATGATTAATATGGATAAGTGAATGAATCTAAATGTTGCAAGTAATTGTATTCATTCTTAGTGTAGAATAAAAATAACCCCAAGGAATGACTTCAATTATAATTTTGCTTCCATGGCAAAGCCTTAAATCCATTCTGTTTGTATGTAGGAATTTACATAAATACTCATTTTTGCTTCAATAAAATCTTGACCTTTCTTGTAGAATGCATGAAGATACCAATTTGATAAAGGCAGACTCTCTTAAAAATTTTTCAAGGAGTTTTAAATTTTTATAATCATCTTTACTATACCTCTTGTGGAGCATCAGTCTGTATAAATTTCTCATATATTGCTTTTGCTTTAGGGATAATTTGTTGAGGGTCTTTGCTTTTCTTGAATTCTTCACAGGCTATCCAAAATTCAATGTTTTCCTCACTGAATTCAGTTTTAAGAAATCTGGTAAAGGTCTCCAGTCCATCTACCAAGAAAAGAAATTATATATCTTAATTATACAATATTAATGCTGAGGAATTATACTACTTGATATTTTTTCCACCAAATATTTATTTAAATTCAAGTTAGTTAACATGCAGTGTAATATTCGTTTCTGGTATAGAATTTAGTGATTCATCACTTAAATACAACAGCCAGTGCTCATCACAACAAGTGCCTTCCTTAATATCCATCACCTATTTAACCATCCCCTCACTCACCTCCTCTTCTGTAAAGTACTACTTGATAATAAAGTATAACTGCTAATATTAACAGAATAGCTATGTCTTCCCTCTAATGTAGTGAAGTAATACACATCTGCATAATACATGAGAGCTCTCATATAAATTAGCTTTAATCTTCACAATTATGAAAGGTAAATGTCATTCTTGTTGAAATGAGGCCAGTATCATACGTAGAACTGGGTAAGAGGGACAAATCCCTGCTCTGGACTTTGTTTTGGGTATCTTTCAAGTCCCTCAATGTCTTTCTCAGGGGTGTGGGGGTTACTCTACAGAGCCCGGAAACTATTCCACCTATTATCTACAACTGGATAACACCTGGATCAGTGTAAGTAACCCAGAGAATGACCTGAGGCCTGGCAGAAAAGACTCCACACCTAATTATAGAGAAGAGGCCATGTTGAAAAGGGTAGGAAGGGCAGAGACACAGTTGGGAGCCAAATGGACATATGAGACTCTCTGCAGGAGGAAGGGATACTGCACGCACACAGAAGGTAGCAAAAACAGACCCTCGTGCCACGCACCCCAAGCTCAGCCACAACAGTAAAACACATAACACACATAAGAGACACCTGAAATCAGGTTCTGGTGAACAGGGGAGATTTCATTACAAGGCACCATAGGACTTCTTCATAAGGCCACTACTTTCAAGAGCAAATGTAGCTGACTTTTCTAACATAGAAACAGACACAGAGAGTTAGATAAAATGAAGAGACAGAGGCATATGTCTCCAAAGAACAGGACAAATGAGAAAAATAGGGAACTCAGCAACACTACCAAGTGTAATAACTTTTTCATTATATGAATCCCAGAAGAAAACGAGAAAGAAAGAGGGGCAGAATATTTATTTGAAGAAATAATAGCTGGGAATTTTCCAAATCTGAGGAAGGAAACAGAAATCCAGATCCAGGAGGCACAGAGAGCCTCCAATAAAATCAACCCAAGGAGGTCCACACCAAGACACAAAGTCATTAAAATGGCAAAAAGTGGAGATAAAGAGAGAATCTTAAAAGCAGCCAAAGAAAAGAAAACAGTTGCAATACAAGGGAAACCCCATTAGTCTATTGGTTGATTTTTCAGCAGAGATTTTACAGGCCAGAATAAAGTGGCATGATATCTCAAAGTGCTAAAAGAAAAAACCTGCAACCAAGAATACTCTATACAGCAAGGCTATCATTTTGAATAGAAGGAGCAATAAAGAGATGTTAAGACAAACAAACGTTAAATGTCTAAGTAAAATAAAATTTAAAAAAACCACTTCTTTGTGTTTTCAATGGGTAAATAGTTAAATAAATGGTGGTATATCATTATCTTATTTTTGATATTTTACTAGAGTTGACCCTTAAACAATTCAGATTTGATCTGCACCTGTGAATATGTTACCTTACATGGGAAAAGGAGCTTTGCAGATGTGAGTATGGTTAGGGACCATGAAATGGGGAAAGTATCCTGAATTATCTAAGTGAATAATTTAATCCAGTCTAAGTGTATGACTCCTGAAATGTGGAGGAGTAAGACAGAAGAGTGGTTCAAGAGATACAACACAAGGATTGTTACTGATTTTGAGGATGGAAGAAGATGGTCATGAGCCAAAAAATGCGGTGGCTTCTAGAAGGTGCAAATGGTCAGGAGTTTAGAGTCAGAGAGACAATGGAAACCTCATTCCAAAACTGCAAAGAACTGAGTTTTGCTAAAAATCTGAATGGAAAGGGAAGGAATTCTCCCCTAGACCCTTCAGAAGGGACAATAACCTTGATTTTTTCCCCCAATAGGACCTACACTGTACTTCTGACCTACAGAACTGTAAGGTTGTAGATTTGTGTTAAGTCACTAAAGTTATGGTAATTTGTTATAGCAGCAATAAGAAACTAATACAAATCCTCAAAGTATGCTTTACATTTCACCATTTATTTCTCCTAATATATACAATTTGTCCTCTTTGCCATGAAGCACTATTTTTAATGTTGTAAACAATTTTTAAAAATATATTAGAGATACAGGAACAGAAAATGACATGACAACCTATAGACATTTCCAAAGTATTGCATATGTGATGACTTCCACTACCATGACAAAAGAATCAAGCAGCTCTATTCAACTGCGTCTTCCATTAGCATTTTCACTAGAATAAGGGGGGATTTTTTTTTCTCCATAAATTAACTCTGAGTACCAGGTGTTAATGGTTAAACGTTTATGAAGAGACTAGGAAGACAGACAAAGGTCAAGCTTACAAAAATTTGAGAAGCTCTATTTAAAATTGACAAACTAGCCAGAACTTGTCTGCAGTCATTAGATGCTAATAAGATAATCCCTGATTAAACACAACTTTTTTTTTAAAAAGATTTTATTTATTTATTCATCAGAGACACACTGAGAGAGAGGCAGAGAGAGAAGCAGGCTCCATGCAGGGAGCCTGACATGGGACTGGATCCTGAGTCTCCAGGATCATGCCCTGGGCTGAAGGCAGCGCTAAACTGCTGAGCCAGCCCAGCTTCCCCAGAAGGGAAATTTAAATGGGAAATGATTCTTTGAAGCATTTTGATACACAGAAGATTTTCCCCAAATACCTAAAAAATGTATATGTTTCAAAGTCAAAATAAAGTGCCTGGAATCTTGCAATGAGATAATAGTCTGTTCTAGGTTAAACCTAGTTTGGAAAGAGGAAATTAAGTATAAGTATTATGGAGTCTGTGAATAAAGTTACATTGACCAGAGTGAATGAAAAAACTTTTCTGATTTCAGCTTATTCTATCCATATGTCATGGATAAGTATGATCGATCAGTTTTTAAATGCCAAATTATTCTTAAATTGAATTAACAAATTTCATAATTTGGGGAGAATATGATCATTATTTTTCCTATTAATAGATCTCAATTATAATAAAGTGTTTTTGCACTAAGCATCTAAAAGAAATCACCCATATGCCAGGCAACTGAAATGGTTACATATTAAAAATAACTTTCTTGGGATCCCTGGGTGGCGCAGCGGTTTAGCGCCTGCCTTTGGCCCAGGGCGCGATCCTGGAGACCCGGGATCGAATCCCACATCGGGCTCTCGGTGCCTGGAGCCTGCTTCTCCCTCTGCCTGTGTCTCTGCCTCTCTCTCTCTCTCTCTCTCTGTGTGACTATCATGAATAAATAAAAAAAAATTTTAAAAGAATAAATAAAAAATAAAAATAACTTTCTTCACCTATCTTTTGTTTATGAAACACCTAGTATGAATATGAGGATTGTATTGTATACTGAAAATGCAATAGTATTCATTATAATAGAAGTTTTGAGTGTTTGCTAAGGTCTTGGCACATTGCCTTATATAGGCACAGTTCCATTAAATTTTCATGTCAACCCTATTGAGTAACCCATTTTTACAGATGAAGAAGTTGAGGTTCCAAGAGTGAAGTTGCCCTAAATTTATAGCTGGTAAAATACAACACATAATGTTGAACCCAGATATATTTTGTTCAAAGTTATAAACTGCCATCAAAGAGCAAAGTCTTTACTTCTGAGGAATATGAAGGTTAATGGATGGGCAAGACAGGCATTTATATACTAAAGGCTAAAGAAGGACATTTTTGGTGGTTATTTCTTTTGTTTGGAGGAGCAGAGGAAAATCAACTTGCATGGAATTCAAATAGAAGTCTCTCAAAAAAATAACATAAATGTTTTTTAATATATAGCCCTTTATTAGTTCACAAAACATGACTGTAAACTATGTCCCAGCCATTGTGCTCTGGAATATCATGCAAAAGGCCTTTTTTACCATAATTAGTCTTGAGTTTGATACAAACATTCGGAATGAAACCATAGCACCAATATTAGGGAGAGTACTATGTGCTGAAAGTGCTTATAATGGGTTAATCAAAGAAAATGGATCTTGTTTGCATAATATGAATATAATAAAGAAGACTAAATACTGATTCAAGAAGTGAATTAATGGGGATCCTTGGGTGGCTCAGTGGTTTAGTGCCTGTCTTTGGCCCAGGGTGTGATCCTGGAATCCCGGGATCAAGTCCTGAGTTGGGCTCCCTGCATGGAGCCTGCCTCTCCCTTTGCCTGTGTCTCTGACTCTCTCTCTCTCTCTCTGTTTCTCATGGATAAATAAATAAAATCGTTTTTTTAAGAAATGAATTAATAATAAATGAGAAAGTAGTTCATTTATTTAAAAGTTTAAGTAAATTACTTTTTAAAAAGTAATATGCAATGTTGTGCAAGATTATCGCAGCACATTAGTTACTTCCTGTTTCTTTTACCCACTTTGGGCGGCTACATTAAGTCAGGTCACAATGGAACCATTTCGTACACAGAAGGAGTCACTTACCAGACAGTCCTTTAGAAGGCAGCAGTGGTGATTGCAGCTGCCAAAAGTGCTTGATGGAACCTGGGTTTAGAATTCACACTGGAAGAAGCTGGCTCAATGTGTCATACAAATATGAAACGCTTGTGATTGCATGTTTCTAAATTGAAACTCTGGCATCTGTTGGAAAATTTTTCTGATGCCAAGAAACCAAATGAAACAAAAAGTCAAGAAACTCTCAAGTTGGAAACCCAAGTACAGTATTACTAGGTTGCATGTTTTCCCTTTAATGTTTAGCTTCATAGTTCTTGACCTGACACAGAATGTTGTAGTTACTTTTGTAATAATGATTTATTTATGTGATCCATTTATGATTTAGACTGGATTTTACTTACTTTTATTCTGAGACAGATTAAGAAACTATTTGTTATGGGTTAGCTCAATTCAGAAATTTAACTTGTAGAACACTGGAATCCCTTATTTTGCAGAAAATCAGTAACTGAAAATTGGGAAGGGCAAGTTGAAAAGCCACAAGGTAAAAAGCGTAAGGAGAAGTACTCACTTCCTTCCCCAAAAGTTAAGTGCTCATTTCCTTGCAGCCTTTTCTCAAAGGCACTAGTATTTTCCACAGTATAATCAGTTTATATTTTTAAAGCAAGGGGGTGCAATGACTTACATATTCTACTTCTCCCAACTATTATGAATTATTCTCAGGATTAAGTTTAGTAGAACCACAATACAGGTTACAAAAAAGTCCAGGTAAATATTCATTAATGAAAAGGTCAAAAATATTGGAATTATTTGCAATGACTGGAAAAAAAGGATACACAGGAAAATACACACTTATATAGTAGTTGGAAGATTTTCTTATCGATAGAGACTCTGCAGGAAATAACAGCCCCTTTCACATCACATCAATTATTAACTGAAGATGTGATGGTTAGAAAATCTTTATTTATAATCAATTACTCTTCCATATTCTAGGTGTGTGCCTACAAAATCCCTGCAAAACTTCTGATAAAGTTTACAAGCAACTTAATAAGTTCAAAGTCTGACCTGTTATTTCTCACAAATCTTGTTCTTGCACGTGTTTCTCTCAACTATAAAAGGCATTGTCATCCCCCTGCTAATAGGGAATAAAATCTAGAGATCTGTGGCTCATTCTTTTCCTTAATCTCTTATCTCTTCATCATCTCATTTTATAATACGTGCACAGTCAGTCACCAAGGTCATTTGTTTTCTTTCCAAAATAGCCCTTACCTCGAGGTTAGCTTTTATATTTGTGACAATCTTGCAGGGAGTCCACATTGCATGTATAGAATTCTATTTTTCTGTCCATCAGAGTTTTCTAACAATCTCTTTCAAAATTTGTCCGTAACTTGATTTCCCAATGTGTTCATTCCCTACTCCACCCTAGTGAAAGTGAACCACTTGCTTTTCCAAGTTACACCAAAATCTCTTATTTCCCTAGTCATTCTCCTACCTTTTTATTGGCTCAGGAATATTTTTCCTTCCTCCTGTTGAAATCTTGCACTCATCCATTTAATCTCTTTTAATAATTTCTAAAAGGCTACACAATACATTGCAAGTTATATAGCATTTGTATCACTAGCTAATTATTTTCAAACATATATTATTCAGCAACATTATCATATATGTATACAAACACACATATATGCTTAAGTGTAATATGCATATATGTATAATATTATTGGAATTGACTAATTTTATATTGATAAAGTCAATAATAAGACTAATAACTAAAATTAGTTGAAATTGATGATTATGAAACACAGATATAATCTGATATTGATTTTTTATTTATTCATAATTTTTGTTTCTATTAAATATAGCATTAGAAATTATTGATTTCTATATATGTGGTTAAATTATTGATTTTTATGGTTCATTTCATAATTTCAGACAAATTTGTCAATAAATGGTGATGATGAAAAAAATGTATCCTAATATCTGTATAGAAACAAATGAGGAACATTTTATTTCTGAATAGGTCTAGATTTATTGAAAAGTTATGAAGATAGTGCAGTTTTCTTACATCCTACAACCAGTTTCCTCCTATTATTAACATCTTACATTGGTAAGGTACATATGTTATACTCGATAAACAAATATTTATACACTCTATTAACTAAAGCCCATACTTTGGTTAGATTTTCTTCTATTTTATCTTCTGTTCTTTTTAATTTTCAAAAGAGTTAAAACTATGTTTGAATATTAAGATTTGGATAAAATAGTGGGATTATCAAAACACTCCATGGATTCTGTTGGTTCTGTGAAATATAGCAAACCCATGCTCTTTCTGTTTTAGTCTCGTCTATTGTCTGTCATCCTAAGATACTCTTCCTTTTTCAAATTGTTTCTCAACAAAGAATTACTTTCCTTTAAACTCCCTAAATAAATTGGACTGATTACTGCCCCATGCCTAAGTTGGCTCTTCACTTGGATGGTCTCTCTCCTTGTCCAGCTAGTGAATTTTGTTTAATCCCCTAAAATCTAGAGTAAGAACCATCTATTCTGTGGCTCTATTTCTAAAAATGCTAATAATCAGCATACACTGCTTTTAATATCAGCCATTTTTGTCAAACTAAATACTCAAATTTCTATTTTATTTTGATTTTATATTTTGTTTGATTTCTCATTGCACTTCCCATCTGAATAATTTAATACAATCTCTATCTCCTTTATATAGACATGACATACAGAATTTGAGAAACTTACTCATCTAACCAAAGGGGAATTCTGTAAAATTTGATAGAGTAAGGTCTTTCTTGAAGTAAGTGTGTGTGTGTGTGTGTGTGTGTGTATACTAATGAGTATAAGATCTTTCCTTCTTTTTTTTTTTTGTTTTTTTTGTTTTTTTTGTTTGCCTGGAGTCAAGACAGTGGAAATGAGCTGAATTCAACCACTGCAACCAAAAGAATTTTTTAGCTGATTATTATAAGCTTTATAATTTAATATTATAATAAGCTTTGCAATTAAAAATAATTGGATTTTGAGGGGGATTGATTAAAAGAATACTGGTAACATAATTTTTTTGTGAATTCGATATAATTTAATTAGCACTTTGATCAAGAGCAATGATAATAATGTCCAAGTGGGTCAGTGCTGACTTTTGTTATCATGTTGAACCCTCTTGATTCAAATTGCTACTATTTTATAGCTCTTTAATATTTCCACCAGCAGAGAAAAAAAGAGAGAGCAGCAGATTTAATTTTTTCCACCCAGTTTTGACTACTTGTAAAACAGGATGATTACAGAATGCCAAGGGAAAATTTTCTGTAGGTCTAATTATCCTCACTGAATATTTCTTCTCTCTGTATGGGTCATGAGAGTATGATGAATACATTAGGTACCAATTTACTAAGTTCAACAAATAAGTACAACTTATATGTTTCTTTAAATTGAAATTTCACCCTTTAAGTAATTTTACCCAGTTGAGAATAAACTGAAAAATAGAAAAAGATTCTTAAATTTATTGTTGATAATTATTTTTTTTCTTAATAGAAGTACTAATTTACATTTGTGTAGTGTTAGTTATTGGTTTCATATTCATCATCTCATTTAATCCTGAGAGAAATCCATTTCAATTGAAGCTAAAGACATTGTTATCTCCATTTACAGTTGAAGAAGCTAAAAGTCAGAGGTATTCGGAAGCTTAGTTAAGATTATGTAGCAGAGGAAAACCAGAATTCAGCCCTCAAAGGAACCTGGGCTACCTTTTTCCTAGCAACAAATTTGGTTATATTATTTGAGCAGTTAATATTTATCAGGTGATGTGCTAGGTTTGAGCATCCACAGATGAAAAGATATCTGTTTCCTTACAATAAACTGTCAAATTAAAAAATAAAAATAAAAAGAGTAACAATCTAGACAACCTGTCCTCTGATTCATGCTTTATCATAGTTTGAACAAACGAGAAGTCAGTATTTGTCCTCATGTTCTACTTCATCTACAGAGCTTCATCTTAAACACCCATCTGATTCTCAACTCTTCAATGAAATTCTGCTTTAAAAATAGATAAATGATATGAAGGGTGAAATATTTACAAAATTTGAGAAAAAGTATTTTCAAGACGGTTTCCTGAATTTTGAATAAAAGAACTACTTTAGGGCAGTTCATGTGGCTCAGCGGTTTAGCGCCGCCTTCCAACCGGGGTGTGATCCTGGAGACCCCAGATGGAGTCCCACATCGGGCTCCCTGCATGGAGCCTGCTTCTCCCTCTGCCTGTGTCTATGCCTCTCTCTCTATCTCTCATGAATAAATAAATAAATAACTTAAAAAAAAGAGAACTACTTTAGATTTTAGATCACTTAACAATAAAAATAACACGGATAATCGGGTACTTAAAAACCAAGGATTTCATTCAAAAATCCATAAATTAAAACATTTGAAACTATTAATCACAGCACAAAGAGATAATATTATTTCAACCACAATTAGTATTTTTTAGTAAAATCAAAATATTTAAAAAATATTTTCCATTTGTTGACTATTCTATACTTTAGTTATTTCTTTTGATCAGAAACTTGGATTGCTGTAAATTACTAATCAGACTACATTTTTATGACAGCCTGCTTTGTAGAGTTACATGCATACTTTGCATAATTTTCTATTAAGACATAAAGCATTTGAGAAAAAGACCACTAACCTTTATGAGAAAGCAGTTTATCAAATGATTCACCCCATATCACTGCTTCTTCGGGGGAGACTCTGTTCAAGAAACAAAATGTTTATAAAGGAGTATGCAGAAGTTCTGTTTATGGATCTGCTCGAAAGAACATATGCTGTAACACTGCTCTTCTCAGCCATAGGGTTTTTTTTATTATTATTATGTAATGAAAGTTGTATTTATATTGAAAACTTCAAAAATCTTGGTCAACATTTTTATTGATTTTGCCTCTCAAACAATATGTTAAAATAACATTAAGTATTTTCTCATGAGTGTAAGAATTACTTTATTTGAAACTAATCATATGGGGACACCTGGGTCGCTCAGTGGTTGAGCATCTGCCTTTGGCTCAGATCATGATCCCAGGTCCTGGTATTGAGTCCTGCATCAGATCCCAGCAGGGAGCCCGCTTCTCCCTCTGCCTGTGTCTCTGCCTTTTCCCCTGTGTCTCTCATGAATAAATAAGTAATATCTTAAAAAAAGAAAATTAATCATGTGTTATGTTAAGAACAAAGAAAAAGAAATCAATTATCTTTTTTTTTCTTGAGAAAATATTTATCTCTGCATATCCAGTTTATTTCAGCAAATAGAAGAACCTAACTGATAATATCTTGTAGTCAAATTTTTTAAACTGCAATTTCCTTTAAGCTCTCACCACGATATGCAGCAATTTTTTTTAAAACAGATACAGGAAGTTTGGCTAATGAAGCTCTAAAGGGATAAAAAATATATTTAAAAAGTTGTAATACAACAAATATTTTATAGTTATAACTCACAAAGTTGTTTATATTTGTCTTTGATCTTTTATTGGTCATTTTTCATTCGGAAGAATTTTTATTATCCTAGTATATAAGGCCACTTAATTTTCTGTATGAATTAAAGAAATGGCTAAAAATGACAAAACATTCCTTCTCATGCTTTTTTGCCTTTATACCTAAAGGCACTTTTTCCAAGCCACTAAGGAAAGAGATGACTAGGTCTCCTCTATGACAATATTACACGGTGAAAACTCTTAATTTAATGAGTATTTCATCAGTTTATAAGGAGTAAAATATATCATTTAAAATTGGCAGGTATATAATTTTAAAAGAGCATCTTTAAATTTTTATAAGGTTATTTAATTCAAGCTATTAAAGTGGTTTAATTTTATGGAATATTCTTACTTTTTTGAAATGAGATCTCTAACCTTCCTTATATTACTGTATAATTTCCAATAAAATGGAAATCCCTAATTTCCTCTTTCTTAAACCTTTAATGATAGAATCAGCAAAAATCTTCCTTCAAATAATTAAAAGTTATTCACCTTGTTTCTCTGGCCAAGTGCCCAGATCTACTGAAGTGGGTTTCTTCATGAAACTCAGGTTTCTGCACGAGAAGACTTAGCCTATTTCTTTTTTCTTTAGCTCTGTAACGAAAAGGCATTAGCTTCAGGGTAAGTTGGATGACAATTAAAATCTTTCCTTCTGACTGTCAAACAAATTTGGGATTGGTAATTACCTGAACATCCCTTCTCACCCACCATCTACTTCCCACACACACTCAATGGTTTTCCTAGTGAATTTTATTCAGTCTGTGGAAGAATTAGGATAGCATATGGAAATATATTTTGTTTTTTTCCTCAGTGATTGTAAAGTATTTGAGATTATATTTCAATTAAGATTGTCACTAGTTCTTCTCTGTGTTAAAATTATTGTACTTTTTTCTAAAATAAAAGCACTTTAGATTTAACAGGCGTTTACTCCTAATTAAGAGACTTTTTTCCCCCAGTCGTAACAGTATATTCAGTATATTTTCAATCAGCTATTTTAAAAACAAGTGCTAATAAATATTCAACATCAATCATGTTTTTAAAAGTATAAAGCTGATCTTAAAAGTCATGATTTTACCTGATTTTGGCTTCTTTGCTTGTTTCTTCTTTTCCTGAACCATGTATTAACTTGAAAAAAGTTTTTTCTTTTGATTCGCACATATTTAATTGAGAAAAGAAAACCAATGATGTTTCCATCTTCTCTAAAATGAAGAGATGTCTAATTTATTACATCCTTCACCTGTTAATACTATTTCATAATTATTCATGGTACAATAAGTTATCATAACTCTGTTAGCAGTGCCTAAAAGAAAAACAAATAGAACCAAGAGCTGTGTTTCTGTCTCCACAAAAAAGTAGAACTGAGGAACTGAAGTACAATTTGGTCCTGAGTTGTTTAGGGAAATGATACTACAAATTTGCAAAATGACTGTTGGTCTCTAAGATAAAGACTAGTATTACCACAGTGCAACTTCTCTTTCTAGTTTGTGCAACCAGAATGGTGCTTTAATAGACCCAAATGACACTGTCATTTCCCACAGGAACTTTTTAAAAAGTTTTTAAATATGTATTGTGTATAGTAAAATATGTTGTGGTGAAGTACCACATTGAACATTAGGAGATAATTTTCCTTGTTCTTAATTTATTTTTATTTTTATTTTTTTAAGATTTTATTTATTTATTCATGAGACACACCAAGAGAAAGGCAAAGACACAGGCAGAGAGAGGAGAAGAAGGCTCCATGCAGGGAGCCCGATGTGGGACTCAATCCTGGGACTCCAGGATCACACCCTGGGCCAAAGGCAGACCCTCAACCACTGAGCCACCCAGGCGTCCCTGTTGTTAATTTTTTTTAATTTATTTTAATTACAATGAATTAAGTAAATTACATTTAATTGACATATTGCTATATAATGTAAAATACATTTGCTTAACATCTTGTATCAAAATAAGAATATAGATCGTGGGTTTTATATTTGAAAGAGACTATAGAAAGCATTTCATTCAAAAATTTTTAGGCACAGGTTCATGGAATGATTTTAGACATTTAGGAAATTTCTATCAGTCCATGGTGAAAATGGGGAAAAAGATAATACATAAAATAAACAAAAAGATGTATTTATTTGAGAGCGAGAGAGAGAGCATGCTAGCAGGGAGAGGGACAAACAGAGATGGAGAGAGAAAATCTTCAGACTCCCTGCTCAGTGCAGACCTAACATGGAGCTCAATCCCAGGACCCTGAGATCATGACCTGAGACAAAAATCAAGACTTAGATGCCCAACCAACTGAGCTACCCATGTTCCCTGTAAATTTTTTTCTTAAACTCTATGTATGTTAATATGAAGGAATTCCTTATTTTGAATTTGACTTTCTCTTTTTTAAATTGTTAAAATGTTGTTTTTGATGAAAGATATTAACTAGAGACGGAAGTTTGTATGTTTATTTTATGTCCTTATTAAAAACAAAATGGCAACTTGAAGTTGGTCAGCCTCCACTTCTTTTACTGTTTCAAGACAACCAAATATCTAAGAAATACTGATATAGTCCATAACTCACATTTTGTAGAAAAGGAAACTAAGAATGATAGATACTAAGTGATTTATTCTTGCCAAGTCTCAGAAGTCAGTGGAAGAGAAGATCTGGTATTATTAGAGGCTTTGATAACCAGGAGCATGTGATTTAATCTTTTGAAGAGCTTTTGATCTCCAGAGTGACTAGTTTAATTCCTCTAAAATTGTAGATATTAAAAAACAAGTTAACAAATGTAAAAGAGACCTGTTTTATTTTTAGTCTGTTCAAGTTATTAATTTCAAGAAAATAGTTGTCAGGGCTACCGCCTAGGAGCTCAAAACATTTGCAGAATTGAAATTAAAGAATATTTAGTGTGTATTTATACACACTCCCTCCTGATTCTATAGCTTTCACTTTGTTTTTTTTTTTTTTATAAATTAATTTTTATTGGTGTTCAATTTACCAACATACAGAATAACACCCAGTGCTCATCCCGTCAAGTGTCCCCCTCCGTGCCCGTCACCCATTCACCCCCACCCCCCGCCCTCCTCCCCTTCCACCACCCCTAGTTCATTTCCCAGAGTTAGAAGTCTTTATGTTCTGTGTCCCTTTCTGATATCTCCCACACATTTCTTCTCTTCTCCCTTCCCTTATATTCCCCTTCACTATTATTCATATTCCCCAAATGAGTGAGAACATACACTGTTTGTCCTTCTCCGATTGACTTACTTCACTCAGCATAATACCCTCCAGTTCCATCCACGTTGAAGCAAATGGTGGGTATTTGTTGTTTCTAATGGCTGAGTAATATAGCTTTCACTTTGAACTTATTTTTAAATTCACCTTGGATGAAGATTGACTGTAAAAAGACTGTATCTGAAGTACCATATCCAGAGGAGAGACAGAAACTTACTGATGCTTTTCATAAGATTGGTTGAAATTGTGGACAGATGTGCTACCAGCAAGCTGATAGAACTATGGTGAGAGACACTGTGAAAATATGGACAAAAAATATGGAAACTGCATTAAAGGCCTGTATAAAGGCATGAAAAAGAATTAGAAGATATGTGGATTTATTCTTTGTGTATGCCAACAGGAGAGGAAGAAAAAAGGTGGATGCTGCAGGGTGACCAGCTAATAATCATTCTTAGGCACAATTTTTTCTTAAATATATATTTTAAATGGGAACAAATTGTCTTTCATATCTACCTATATTTTATCATTTCCAGTTCTCTTCATTTCCAGTTCTTTTCATGTCTTGTGCAAAAGCGCACAAGTCCATCTGGTACATTGTCCTTTAGCCTGACAACCTTCAACATTTTCTGTAGTGAAGGTCTGCTGAAAATAAATTTGCTCAGCTCTTGCTATCCTGAAAATCTCTCTCTCTCTCTCTCTTTTTTTTTTTTTTTTTTTTTTGCTTTTAAGTTTGAAGGATATTTTCACAGGATAGAATTTTAGGTTGACAGTTGTTTTTTTTTTTAGCATATTTTTAAGATATTGCATTGTTGTCTTCTGGCCTCCATTATTCTTGTTAAGTCACTGACAATTTGTTTAATAGTCTTACATTCTAATATAAAAGTGTGACCGCTTTTCAGATTTCTCCTTTATCTCTGATTTTTAAAGATTTGGTTAAGATAGAAGAGGTGTCCGTTCTACTTGGGATTTGTTGAACTTTCTGGATTTGTGGGTTTATAGTTTTTGCCAAAGTTGGAAACTTCTGGTGTTAGCTCTCCATTTTTTTTTTTTTTTTTTTTTTGCCATTTCTCTCATTCTCAGAGACTCAAATTACAGATATATTTGACCCCTTGATGCAACGCCACTAATCTTTTAGGAAATATTCAAATTTTTTCCTCTTTTCTCTTTGATTCTCAGACATTTTTCATTGCTATACCTTCACAGGAATATTCACTTTTTTTAATTTCTTTTTTTTTTTTTGCCACTGTGCCTAATTTGTTGTTAAGCTTATCCAATAATGTTTTTATTTCAGTTCTAGAGATTTTATTTTTTAATAATTTGATTGTTTATCTTCATTATGTTTTTTATGTACTTGTTCTTGAAGATGTTGAAAAAAACTATATTGAAGTTCTGAAAATTTCATCTCCATGATCTGGGTCTTCTTTCATATTGATTTTCTTCTTCATGATGACACATTTCCCCAATCCATCAGATGTCTAATAATTATTTATTGGATGCTGGACAGTTGAATTTTATGATGTTGAGTATCAGGATTTTGTTAGTCTTCATTTAATGATGATGCAGTTGACATTGCCCAGAAGTTATTTAAGTTATCGGTTTTGTCTTTAAAGACTTTTATTTGGGATCCCTGGGTGGCGCAGCGGTTTGGCGCCTGCCTTTGGCCCAGGGCGTGATCCTGGAGACCCGGGATCGAATCCCATATCGGGCTCCCGGTGCATGGAGCCTGCTTCTCACTCTGCCTGTGTCTCTCCCTCTCTCTCTCTCTCTCTCTCTCTGTGACTATCATAAAATAAAAATAAAAAAAAAATAAAAAAATAAAAATGGGATACTATGCATGTTATCCTATAAAAAAAAATAAAAAAAATAAAGACTTTTATTTAAACTTTGATATGGTAGACATAGATTAGCCTTAATTACTAAAGTATGATGACTTCTAAATTTATTAATTCCCAGGGTGTTCATTAAAACTTTCCTATTTTGGATATTAAGAAATTGAATGTCCCTCAGCCCTGTGTGAGCTCTGAAAATTATTAACTTATATCTTATAATAAGTCTTCTTTGCCAGTACTCATGGAGTTTTATCCTGCATGTGAGCTGCTTGGTATTAAGCCAGATTCAAAGGTAACCTTGCACAAATTTCTTGAACTCTTTCTAATACTTTGCCTTGCAAATTTCAGTTCTCTTGCTGTCTCTATTTCTGCAACTTAAAATAGTATTTTTTTTCTTTATTTAAGAAATATCCCTGTAAACTTATCAGTCTGTAAATAAAACTGATACTTCTTCCCTGTGCTAAAGCCTTTTAAGACAGTGGTTGAAGTTGCATGGCTCACTTTATCTGCCTGGGTGGCTCAGTTGGCTAAGTGACTCTTGGTTTTGGCTCAGGTCATGATCTCAGGGTTGTGAGACTGAGCTCCCTATCCTTTGGCTCCATGCTGAGCAGGGAGTGTGCTTCAGAGTCTCTCCTCTGCCCCTCCCCCAACTTGAACTATCTCTCTCTCTCCCTCTCCCTCTCCCTCCCTCTCTCTCTCTCTCTCTCTCTCTCAAATAAATAAATCTTTTAAAAATAATACTAATAAATAAAATGAGGCTGGGTTTCATACTTATCTTTTGTGAACTCACACAATTTATACAACTATGCTGCTTATTCTCCTTATTATACATTCCTATGGAATTTGAACTTGATACATTTCTGTTGTTTATTTTCTGTTGACACACTTCTGTGTGAAATTAGTTTTCTTGTACTTTTAGAATGAATCTGGATTCAATGAGGCTTTTCAAGTTTTATTTAATTCAGTAATAGTTGAGGTGATATTAGTATTATTCTGAGAATAATTAGAATGAATAATTATTGGATGTTCTAACTTATCATTCCTTGTGCCATTGACAAATTGAATTCTGGGGTGCCTGGGTGGCTCAGTGGTTGAGCATCTGCGTTTGGTTCAGATCGTCATCCCAGGGTCCTGGGATTGAGTACCTCATTGGGCTCCCCATGGGGAGCCTGCTTCTCCTCTGCCTGTGTCTCTGCCTCTCTCTGTGCCTCTCATGAATAAATAAATAACATCTTTAAAAAAGGGAGAGAGAGAAACTTAATTCTTAGGTTGAAATAAAGGACACATAATTGCAATAAGAAAGAGTTAAAATCTCTTTAGTCTTGAAATTCAATTA